TTAATGCCCGTATGATTCCAAGTGTTTTATATGTTAATAATCACAAAAAAAGGAATATAAAACTAAATTTTCATAACACTAGGTTAAATACAACAAATTTGACAAGCGAATTATGCAAAATATAAGCATTGTTATCGTCTGCTATTTCCCATTGCAACAATGTTCGCAAGACACAAATAGAGACTACCTATATCAATACTTATTAAAAATGAACATCATCGTGAGGCATATACTGTAAACATAATCTAAACGATTGTAGTATCTATCTTACATATTTATATGTCTACTATTAGTCCATGCTTTGTATATTGCTGCCACATCTGGACTGGTACTCCTGCAATATATTTAGAGATTCTTAATAAAATACAAATAATACAAAGAAGAATCTGCAATGCTATTGGTCCTGACTTGGCATCTCGGCTTCAGTCCTTTTCCCACAGTTATGGAACAAAGAAAAAAATTTACCGAATCAAACCCATTCTAGAAGAATGGCGTCATGATCTCAGGCTTCCTGGGAAAGAAGAAGTCATCCCATAAAAAATCAGAATAAGATACACTTATATCACTACTCATTTCTTTTAAAAATGAACATAATCTCGTGGCATATACTGTAAACATAATCTAAACGATTGTAGTAACCTTGCCCCTATACATCAACAATTGTATGACATAACTAGTCTCGAAGACCTTTTCGCGATACAAATAGAGGCTAGCTGATGCTGCTTAAAGGACGTTGGCCTATAACTATCATACTAAATAACTCCGTTCTAGAAGCATAATTGGAAAGGTTTGGTTTGGTTTGGTTTGTTTTACGGCATATCAACACTTCAAAGGGTTATCTAATGCCGACAATTTTTATTGTTGGTAAAATTTCCAAAAATGTATTGCTGGTAATATTTTTTTAAAGTATTTCTGGTACTAAAACATATTTTTACACTTTCACAGTGTTTTGATCCCAGTTTCGGGGTTAAATATTTGCCCATAGCTAGGATCCTAACAGGTGTTACCACCCCGGGTCAGTAGAAAAACAACAATTAAGAGGTGATCCCATGCTCCTCAAAAGTTGATCAACGGCTCTGCTGTCAGATGTAGTTTATCATCTTATCAAAGACGCGGATGTAGTTTATCGTCATACCCAGGACGATAATTGGAAAGTGATGGAACCAACACGTCAAAGGATTGTTTACAAGCTATATAAGTTAATAAATAATTAAATCTTTTCAGCATTAAATAACCGACAGAGTTGATATGCCATTAAAACAATTTTTCTCGACAGAATCTATCTTACATATTTATATGTCTACTATTCATGCTTTATTATTACATGAATCATTCATACAAAAAACAAATATAGAGGTTAATGATTTAAATCGCGAGAATACATCTTCGCAAACAATTTCAATAAGATACACCAACCCCGAACCTATATATATTTTTATAAGGTCTTTTTTAGTATTTACAAGCTTTTGTCTATTCCTACAGACATCCTCAGGTATGGAAATAGATTTGTTATTGTTTTTTACTTCTCGGTAATAAGAGGACAACGAAAATAGAGATGTAATCCGAAAAAAATGCTATGAGAAATGTGTTCGTGCGGTCGCAACGCTGAGTTTGAATTTAAATTTTAAGGTTGTGCGTTTTTGTACAAATATAGTAATAAGCGAATTCTTTTGTAGTGGTAGGTTTTCCGTCAATGTGGCATGAACTATATTGTTCAATAATTACAGGAATGTCACACTTATTATTCGAAAGTTGCACGTTGGATCAGTTATTTTAATTTCGTTTATAGGTGCATTTTAATTTATAATTACATGAATCATTCATACAAAAAACAAATATAGATGTTAATGATTTAAATGGTGAGAATACATCTTCGCAAACAATTTCAATAACGTACACTAACTCCGAACCTGTATATGAATGATATGATCCCTTTTTATAAATTCCAGTTTCATAAGGTCTTTTTTAGTATTTACAGGCTTTCGTCTGTTCCTACAGACATCCACATGCTTTGAATATAGCTGCCAAATATGGACAGGTGCTCCTGTTGTATATTTAAAGATTATTGATAAAATCCAAAAAAGAATATGCAATGTTATTGTCCCAGACCTGGCATCTCGGCTTTAGTCCCTTTCACATCAGCGCAACGTAGCTTCTCTGTTCCTTTTCTATAAATATTCTCATAGTAATTGTTCTGATGAACCTTCCTCTGGTACTTAAACCTTATGAATTTAAGCGCAGTACTGGATTGACGGCAAGTGGAAATGTCTAGATGTAACCGTAAGTTCTATGATAACTGTTTCTTCTATCACACTTCTTGCTTGTGGGACTCTCTTCCAGCTTCATGCTTCATAGTCAATGCAATGTCAATCGTCATTATCTGTCTTTTTAACGCATGTTATTTTATTCTTTCTCATTAATTTTTTTTTCTCATTATCTAACACACAATAACTTCTTGCATCTTATTCGCTTTAAGCCCTTGCGTGATGTGAAATGATTA